GTGTATTCTATAATGTAATTTCAAATTTTTATGTTAAAGAATTTTTTTCTAAATTTACTTAAATAAATCTTAATTAATTATATGTAATGTATATGAATTCATTTTCAGATACTAATATTGGTTCTGTGAAATATGGATAAACATTTTATTAAAATAGCTCAAAAAGCAAACTATCAACAATTTATGCATTTTTGAATAAATTCAAAGAGAGATTAGATAAGCTATAATACACTTAATATTCATCATTTAAGTATATATTTTAGATTTTTTAATACTACAATAAGTTAGTTTCACTTGCATAGAGTACTTCTGTTAGATCAAAGCTAATAAAAGCAGTACTTGTTTACACTATCAATATCGAAATTTGTGAATTAATAAATATGTTTAAAATATTTGTCTAATCGTATAATTGTAAAGATAAAGTTTCAATGAGCTACATTTCTGGAAATTTTAGAGAATAAATAAATTTGTATGAATATAAGAAGATTACCTATTTATTTTATTCCATCTCGATTCCTTAAGTATCTTTGATAAATGTATTGAAAGTTGTGACATTTCTTTATAGGTAGTTGCATAAGTAAATAGTAGGAGTTGAATCAACTAAAATTAAGCTAACTTACTCCTAAAAATAGTAGGTAGCTCTTTTCAAAAAGGAATTTAATGTATAGTACGTAAATAAAATTTGATCTCCAGGAACATTTATTATATTAATTTATTTTGTAACTCCAGTAACTCCAATTAATATTTCATACTAAATATCATAATAAATATTTGTTTTATTTTATCTATAATCAAATAAATTCAAATGATTAGAAAAGTTATTTTTTTGAAAATAACTCACTCCTTATTATAAGAAGCATATAAATAGCTCATCTTTAATGCTTATTAGTGGCATATCTTAGATGTAGTCTATATTTGGTGGGAACTACAAGTAAATCTATATATAATAAAAAATTAATTATTATTGGTATAAATTTTAAAATAATTCTAATTAATATTTAATATAATTCAATTACTTTTTGAAAATATTATATATCTTAACCAGAAATTAAGTCTAAAGCTCTCACAACAGGAGAGTAAATAATTAATAGGTTTTCAGCGCATACCAAATTAAATTTAAGTTCAAAAATTTTCTAATTTCCCACATACTAAAAGCTTGTATTTACTTGTAATTAAACCTCTGTTAGCATCTATTAGTTTAAATTATAAATTAAAAAGTATTTTATAAATTAAAATTAATTACTTGAATGATGAATAAATTTTTGTTTTAAGTTTGAGCAACTATGATTTATTACTGCATACAATATTAATACTCTGTGATATTCGATTCTAACTTAGCAATTAATTTATTTTATTAATTTATTTTTGGATTGAATAAATTAATATTTTGTCCTTGCACAAATATAAAACTATTTTCATCCCAATCTATAATCTTTATTGGTACAATTATATCGCTTTCAATCTTGTCTTGATTTACTCTAACTAACTCTTTATTTTTTAGTATATCACAAATTTAGACGCATTAGCAACTACTGTCAAATAAGGCTATAAAATTTTTTCCATTTAAGAAATAAAAATCTTAAATAATTTAACTAGAAGTAAAATTAAGAACTTAAAAGGGATTGTTAAACAAATTTTTGTGCCAATAAACTCCATTTTATGATTAAAATATATGAAATTATGCATCGTCCATATTTATTTAGCCAATTAAACTATTATCTTCTTATTAGGTTTTGATGATAATCATATTATCAATATCAATTATATTTCCAGATTTTTTTACATAAGAAGTATTATTCAAAAAATAGAAATTAATTTTCTTTTACAAGAAATAAAGTGAATAAGTAACAGCTTCTATAATCTAAAATTATCTAAGCTCCATGTCAAATTTATAAAAGTTTTCTTAATCATAGTAAAATACAAATCTATCATTTTAAAAAATACCTGAATAGTAGATTGCAGAAGATGGATACTATATCTCAATATTTAACTCAGTTAAGCTTTGTAAATCATACGAATATACTAATATAGTTTCATAGTAAAACATAAATATTTCTTTTGTTTTTTAATATGCAGCTGTAGGATTAGTATGAGGGAATAGTTATAACTCAGTTGGTTCCATAATAAAATTTTATTGTTTTAATGAGAAAGGTCGACAAAATTATTAGTAAATTTAATCACAGAAATAAATGATATCATTATTAAAAATGAGGGGATAGTTTTAATAAATGTCAATAGTCCAAAATAAAGTGTATGTACTTTACTAAAAATTAAATATTTGAGTTTTTTAAATTGTAGATAAATCTAATTTAATCAAGGTTGCTTCTTATTAATCATTATAAGATTAATACATTATATAATCATCATTGATTATTACAAGATTGTAAAAATTTACATTATCCTAATCATTATTTATAAGCTATTCTGAGTTATCTAAATTATAAATTTAAGGAACGTTTCTAACTATTAAAGTATTTCTTTTTTCGATATAAGTGAAATCATAATAATTATAATAATAAATATAAGTATAATTATATGACAAAATTTATTTTTGTTAAGTTATGTCAATAATTTAATGGTAAATTGTTTAATCAATTTATTATTAAAGTATAATATATTTATTATTTATTTACTATACAAATTGATAAGTTCCTTATGAAATGTTTCCATTTTGCTTAAGTTTTAAAGTTTAAGTGTTAATTTGAGGGGCTTTTTGATATCCTTATGCTGATTCTTAAATCAAAACAAATCCAATAGTTTAATTTACAAATCTTTACTCACCATCAAAAATATAAATATATTATTAATTATTAATAAGATTTGACATAGTTACTGCTAATTGATTTTAATTAAAATCATATGAGCCAAATATATAAAGGGTTTTAAATTAGTATGGTGCTAAGTATTTGATTTAATATGTATTTTCAGTTATATTATATCTAAATCTAATAAATTATTAATAAGCAGAAAAATCAGATAAGACTTGTGATACAAAAAAATCAAAAATATTTTGATCTTTAATAATTTTTACACTATTAATTGTTGATGACTAGGTAACAAAAGTATAATTCAAAGGTTAAAATTAATATAAAATATTTTATTATTACCTTTCATTTTAAAAAATTAAAAGATTTGTTATATTTATTATTTAAAGAGTCTCTGAAAATATAAAAGCTATTGTAGAATTCGTGTCTTTATCATCAAATAGTTAAAATGAGTTTAGTTATGTTGATGTTATATTCATTGTTTAAATTATTTATTCTGATTATTTATTTAGAATCAATATTTCTAAGTTGAAATGTTCTTAATTCTATAAAATAATAGAATTAAGCAACTATGAATAATAAACTAATTATTTCATTGTAAAAACTGATTAAAATTATTTTATTATTTAGACCATGCTAATTAGATCTTATTTTATAATTATTTTTGATATTTTAAAAGTATAATCTGTTTAATAAGAAAATAAAATATTATAATCATTTTATTAATAAAGATTTAAAAAGTATTAATCATCCAAATTTTGTTAATTAATATTATTAAATTTTAAAGATCTATTTGAGTCCAAAACTGCTAACTATTTTTTTAAAATATCAAATAAAAAACATTTGTTTAAAAATTTTTGTAAAAAATTACTTGAAATAACCCAAGATCTGTCTGCATGAGATAACTTGTAAATGTATAGTTTTAAATTTAAGTAAAAAACTAATTTTTAAAAAATCCAAAATATTGTTGGTTTATCTATCTTTTTATAGCATCATACCATATAATAGTATCACCATAGAATAAACTTAAAAAAACAATTTAGTTTTTTGAATCCACATAGCTAACTGAGTAATCGTAGTTTGTATTATTCTATTAAAAAACTACTTCTAGTGTTTTAAAATTAACAACTATTATCTTGCTTCCTGCTGAACATCCCCCTTAATCTCCTACTATAAAACCTTTTATCTCAACTTCTACTCCATTTTCAACATATAAATCATTGTAATTTTCTAAATTTTACAAGACTTACACATTTATTATGTTCCAATTTTAGTCTACTAAAGCAAAAGTACAGCCATATGCTAAAACTAAATATTAGTTTTCATTTATTTATTAGACTTCTAATACTCTTTTTTCAAAAGTGAATCTCTTGCTTTCTTGAATTTATATGCAATTTATGGTCTCTTCACAAGTTGAAGCCTCCATATTTTAGTAAAATGTTGGTTAACATTCTTTTTAACATTTTTGAAGATTTGATGCTCCCTAAATAAAGCCATTAAAATATGAGCAAACATTATCAATTAGTATACACTAATTATTAATTTAATCAAGCTTTAAATTTTAATCACATTAAAGGCATTTTTAGCTTTGATCACATTAAACACATCCAAAAACTTAGCATTTTACGCACTCGTTGTTTTGATTTTAAAACTCATTGATTTAGCATTTTTGAACACAAACTGAATCATCATTAGAGCTTTTAAATAAATTCTACTTACATGTTATGCAAGAAGATGATTCTGTATTAAAGCACGTCTAGCACTCATTAGAGCATTATAAGCATTATTAAGTAACCAAGGAATATATTTCATTTTATTCACATTAAAAAGAAATACAAAATTTAACTAGAATCAAAAAAGAAGTTATTTTTAATGAATTCATTTTTCAGTTTGCCTGTTTTTTAATCTGATTTGACAATAAGGTTTTTTAAATGATTTTTTAATCTAAAAATCTAATTAAATAACTTCTAATGTTTAAGTAATTAAAGTTGAAAGAAAATAGGATTAAGTAACATTTTTTACATTTCCCTTACGTTTTATATAGTTATTTAAATAATATTTTTCTTGACACCTAAAAACTAAAATAGATTGTCAATTAGTAATCAAAATCTAAAAATTTCATTCGTTATTAAATTGATTGTTTGATACAGTTTAAAATACATGAAATAAATCCATTCAATTATATATATAACGAAATATAAAATATTAAATATTTTAAATTGGGAAATTCACACTTTATTTATATTTCTTTCTTGTTCTTTATCTAATTTTATCTATTTTATTGGCTTTATCACATGGATGATAAATGAATTAGATTTTTTTTTTATGTCATCAAGTTATAAGGGAAGCTTGTGCTAATAGTAGATTTTCTGATATCAGATTCATCGTATATAATATTTTATCAATCAGATATATCCTACAACGAACTATTTAAAAAGTTATCTCATCTGATCAGTTGATATTGGAATTTAAGCTCAGAGTAAGAGAGGATTTCTTAAAATTTAGTATTTATTTGGACATTTTTGAATGAAAATTTTTATCATTTTTGAGTTTACCTGTTTTTTTAAACTGATTAGACAATAAATAAGATTATTTAAATGATCTTTTAATCTAAAGACCTAATTAAATAGTGTCAATATTTACATTGAGAGAAAATAGGATGACGTATATTTTTTAAATTTCCTTTACATTTAAAAAATTATTTAAATAATGTTTTCTTCACACATAAAAATCATAAATAGATTACTTATTAGTAATCAAAAACAAAAAATTTCATTCATTTTTTAATAAAAATTATCCTTCAATAATCAATCGTTCCTTGCTGTGAGCCCCTAATTTTTTTTATATTAAATATTAATAATGCAGTATTTTTATTCAAAGTATCTGCCGTACTTTTTATTAAATTTTATTGTTTTAAAATTCAAAAATGATATTTTCAAAATCAAAATTATGAATTATAAAAAAATATAGACTTCCTACCATTATTCTATTTATAAATGATAACTATGATATAATATATATCCAAATAAAAATAAATTTTTTCATTTCTCAAAACTTCAATTCTATTTACAACATATAAATCATTGAAATTTTCTAAATTTTACAAGACTTACACATTTATAATATTCCAATTTTAGTCAACTAAAGCAAAAATACAACCATTTCCGACTACTAAATAATAGTTTTAATTTATTTATTAGACTTCTAATACTCTTTCTTCAAAAGAGAGTCTCTTGTTTTCTTGAATTTATATGCAATTTATGGTCTCTTCACAAGTTTAGGCCTCCATAATTAGTAAAATGTTGGTTAGCATTCATTTTAACATTTTTGAAGATTTGATGTTCCCTAAATAAAGCTATTAAAATATGAGCAAACATTATCCATTAGTATACACTAATTAATAATTTAAGTAAGCTTTAAATTTTAATCTTATTCAAGGCATTTTTAGTTTTCATCTCATTAAACACATCCAAAAACTTAGTATTTTACACACTCATTGTTTTCATTTTAAAACTCATTGATTTAGCATTTTTGAATGCAAGCTAAATCATCATTAGAGCTTTTAAATAAATTCTACTTACAGGTTATATAAGAAGATGATTTTGTATTAAAGCATGTCTAACACTCATTAGAGCCTGATAAACATGCTTAAGTAACCACAGAATATATTTCATTTTATTCGTATTAAAAAGAAATACAAAATTTAACTAGAATCAAAATATAAGTTACTTAAAAACTCAAAGTTGAAGGAAAATAAGATGATGCAACATTTTTAAAATATACTTTTACACTTTATAGATTATTTAATAAAATATGTTTTCACGCATACAAATAATAAATAATTATTTTTGAAAATTTTGATCATTTTAGAGTTTACCTGTTTTTTTAAACTGATTATAGACAATAAGGTTTTTTTAATCTAAAAATCTAATTAAATGATTATCAATGCTTAAATAATCAAAGTTGAAAGAAAATAGGATGACGTAACATTTTTTAAATTTCTTTTACGTTTTATAGATTATTTAAATAATATTTTTCTTTACACATAAAAATCATAAATAATTATTTTTTAATAAATAGATTATTTATTAATAATCAAGAACAAAAATTAGATTCATTTTAGAAGAAAATTTTGATCATTTTTGAGTTTATCTGCTTTTTTAAACTGATTAGACAATAAGGTTTTTTTAATCTAAAAATCTAATTAAATAACTTTCAATATTTAAATAATGAAATTTGAAAGAAAATAAGAAGAAGTAATAGTTTTCAAAGCGTTTTTTTAATTTTTATTTAAATAATATTTTACTTCACACATAAAAATCATAAATAAATTATTTTATTATTAATCAATAACAAAAAATTTCATTCATTTTTGAATGAATATGTTTGATCTTGTTATTTTAAACTGATTAGCCAATAAGGTTTTTTTAATCTAAAAATCTAATTAAATAACTTTCGATACTTAAATAATCAAATTTGAAGAAAATAAGATGAATATTTTTAAAATTCCTTTACTTTTTTTTTAGTTATTTAAATAATATTTTTCTTCACACATAAAAATATTAGTAGATTATTTATTATTAATCAATAACAATAAATGGATCCTCGCTGCGAGCCCCTAATTTTAGATATTAATATTAATAATAAATTACAAGTATACATACATACAAAAATATGATTGAAGGACAAATAGTTTAATGAGATGAATAATATATTCTAACATAATTGTATGAATATATTTAGATTGTAATAATAAATATATTTTATAAGAAGTAAAGCCTTCCAGTTATTTTATTTAAATAATATAAAATTAGAAAAGATAAAATTGATTAATTATTAGATGTTTGCTTGGAGCATTTTTAATTTGATATTTGTACCATATCATTTTTTATGTATTAATTTATAATTTGATGACTAGAAGTTCTTCTAGATTTATATTTATTGAACCATATAGGTCTCCAATAAATATCATTTAGGAGTTATTTGGATGAAACATGAAAAATCTCAGCTTAAATGACTGAATCAATATTGTGTCAAATAACTTTATTATTTTGATTTTTCTCAAAACTGAATTAATTAAATATTTTAAATGATTTATTAACGAGGTGGAGGGGATTTTTAGTTAAAATATTGTATTTTAAAATAATTTGTGTTAGTGTTAATCTCTTATTGTTTTGAAATCATTTTTAGTATGTCTATTTTAGCAATCCTCCATTTTTCATATTTTAAAATAAAAACAAGCAAATATTTAAATATAAATTAAAATAAATATTGTTTATAAAATATTTTAATTAAATTTTTGCATTTAATTCTAAAACACTCATTTATATTGTATTTAATACAATATAGATCCATTCATCGCTAAGCATGAATTTAGCTATAATATTGAAATTATGTTGTTAAATACTTTATTTTCAACTACATGCAAGGACCATAACTATTAGTATTGTTTCTAAACTAACTATCAATAATAGTAACAGTATAACAATTTTAAATTAAAAATAAAGAAGTATTTTAATTTTAGGTATTTACCACATTTTTATTTAATCATTAAAGGCAATAAAGAGAAGAATTACTTATAGAGGACCAAGTAAAGCTAAAATAACAGCAAATTCAATAGCAAGTAAAGATAGAATAATTAATCATAATCATTTTCAAGGTCTTTTCCAGCCAACAAATAGCTGACTGCAATATAATAAACTTACAGATAAATTAAAAGAGGTGAATGTAAGAATGGCGATAATGAAGCTGCTTATAAACTAATTATCAAGCTAACAAAGACCAAGCAGCAAATTATAAATATATAAGTAAATATACATTATATTGTTTTCTAAATATTTAAGTATATGATTTAGATAACTGAGCTATAGCAGAGAACTAAAATAAGTAATTGTAAAAATTAAATTTATAGTGAAGAAAATAATTTATCATATACTAAAAGAGCATAGATTTTTAAGTAAATGAAATTTTAACAAATTTTCACTCAAAAAACATTTTAAAAGATATCATCAATTCATCAAAACTAACTAAGAATTTAAATTTAAATCTAGTTTTTTTTTACACTAAAATATTGCCTTAATTTATTTTAGATAAATATTAATTAGAAATTTAAAAAGGTATTTTACTGTAATAAAAAAATTTTATTTATGAATTAAACGACTTCTTAATTTTATTGAAGGTGAACTCAAAATTTAAACTTTCAAATCTTTTTTATTTTATAAAAGAAACATTGCGAATATAAATTATCAATACGATATAATAATAGTAGAAAGAAACTGGAAATACATTATCAAAGTACATAGTTGAAGAATAGAGAATATTATACAAATCCAAATCATTAAATTAAAGAGATATAAATTAACTAAGAATTTTGTTGTTAAAAACCCTTTTTCACAAAATTAAGATTTATAGTAAAATAGAAAATCGATATCATAGTATAACCAAACGCCTAATTAAAATTTAGTTGTTTGGGTATTAATGAGTTTAAAATTAATTAAAAATATATTTGAAATTGTTAGTTCTAATCCAATTTTTTTTTAATTCATTTTTATTTATGATAAATTTTGGTGAATTTAATTATTTCTACTATTAATTAAGTACTGAACTTATTAGATAAATACATTGGATACTTTAAATAAAAATACTGTGATAAAAAATTACAAGTAAAGAAGGAAAAATAATTTTATAATATTAAAAATATATTCTAAAATAATTTAATGAAAATATTTTAAAAATAATAATAAATTTATTTTATGAGAACAGTAATTTTTTTTAAATATTTAAAAATTTAAAAATATAAAAATCAATTAATTATTAGATGTTTGTTTGAAGCGATTTTCATTTGATATTTTTAAAATACATATCATTTTTTATGTTTTATGTATTAATTTTTAATTGAATGACTACAAGTTCTTTTAGTACTAAATTTTAGCTTTAATTTATTTATTAGACTTCTAATACTCTTTTTTCAAAAGATAATCTCTTACTTTCTTAAATTTATATGTAATTTATGGTTTCTTCACAAATTTAGGTCTCCATATTTTAGTAAAATATTGATTAGCATTCGCTTTAGCATTTTTCAATATTTGATATTCCCTAAATAAAACTATTAAAATATGAGCAAACATTATCCATTAGTATACACTAATTATTAATTTAATCAAGCTTTAAATTTTAATCACATTCAAGGCATTTTTAGCTTACATTTGTTTTCATTTTAAAACTCATTGATTGATTTAGCATTTTTGAACACAAGCTGAATCACCATTAGAGCTTTTAAATAAATTCTACTTACAGGTTATGCAAGAAGATGATTTTGTATTAAAGTAGGTCTAACACTCATTAGAGCATTATAAGCATGATTAAAGAAACAAAGAATATATTTCATTTTATTCACATTAAAAAAAAATACAAAATTTAACTAGAATCAAAATACTATAAGTAATTTTTAATGAATTCATTTTTGAGTTTATCTTTTTTTAAAAAACTGAGAGACAATAAGGTTTTTTAAATAATCTTTTAATCTAAAAATATAATTAAATAATTGCCAATGTTTAGAAAATCAAAGTTTAAAGAAAATAGGAAGGCACAACAATTTTAGATTTTTTTTAATTTTTTTGAAGTTATTTAAATCATATGTTTATTAACACATAAAAATCATAAAAATATTAAAAGTAATCAATAACAAAAAATTTCATTCATTTTGAAATGAAAATTTTTCATTCAACAATCAATTGGTCCTTTCTATGAACCCACAAATTTTTATATTTTATATATTAATAATATAAAAAAAATTATAAATACAAATTAATACATAAATATGATTGAATGACAAATATTTTAATGAGATCAATAAAATATTCTAACATTATTGAATGAATATATTTTGATTATAATAATAAATATATTTTATGAGAAGTAAAGCCCTCCAGTTATTTTTTTTAATAATTAAATGTTTATTTGGAGTTATAACTCTCTGATGAATTTCATCAAAGAGATAAATTGACTAGATGTTTTTAATGATTTATTAATTAGGTGGAAGGAATTTTTAGTAAAGATCTTGTACTTAAAAATGAACTATGACTGTTTTAATCTCTTTTAATTTAGAAATGGGTTTTTAGTATTTCTATTTTAGCAACCCTTTATCCTCCATATTTTAAAATAATATTAAGCAAACATTTAAATAAAAATTAAAATAAATAATGTTTATAAAATTTATTAATCAAATAAAAGCATAAAAAAATAATTATCTTCAAATTTTCGATATAGAAATAAAACACCAACAAACAATCAATTTTAATGTTCAGAAAGCTGAATTTGAAATTAAGTACTTCTTTTTCTATTATTTTTGCTATTTTATAAAGAATTTTAAGTTTCCATAATATAATCATCCTTTCCATAATTAATTGGATTCAAATTTTAACTTGATGTTTTTAAAGCTATTTATTTTATTTAAATTATTTTTATTAATATTAAAAAAAAATAAATTACATGTTTAGTTTGATTTCGCATTTCTAGTGTAGTAAGACCATTTATTTCTAAGCCTTTATATATTGTTCTTATTTTTTTAAATTAAATGTTTTTCATCAGAAAATTCTGAAGAAAAAATTTAATTAACTTCTTATACTTGATCCAAATTAGATTAATTCTATGATTTATTTATATTAAAGTATGATTATAGAGATTAGGAAGAGTAAAAGTCATAGCCTTTTAAATATTTCATCAATTATTTAATTCTAAGTTTAACTTTTCTTAACTTTAGCAGCGATTTTATCTTTTGTTTATTTTATAATTAAACATCTAAAAGTTAAGGATATTTTTTTGTAATTTAAAAAATAATATTTTAAATAAAGTTTCTGTCTTCCTCTTAAGTTGGAATTAATAACCTTGATAGTCCTATTAATAAAATAAATATATAAAAAATATTAGCAAAAACGACCAATAATATCAAAATCATTTAATATCCTAAGTCATTCTAGACTCCCACTATTAATATGAAGCATAAATTCAAAGAAAAAGTGCATAGAATTATAGATTTTTGTTATAAATTATTAAAATATTCTCTTGTAAAAGGTTTCGACTTTACTAATAGATAAAATTAGAACAGCAATACAAGATTCATAATACCAACCTATAATATTATAAAATATTAATTTTAAATAAAAAAGTTTTAGGAGAATATTTAAAATTATAGGATAGATAGATTCAGAAAATTTTAAAACATGTAATATTATTTTTTTTTTAATTTTACTTTTTTTAAAAAAAAATTTTTTTTTTTTTTTTTTAAATTAATCTCCATGTATATTATTTAATAATAAGCTGAATCCAAAAAAAATAAATTTTATTATTTGTTAAGAAATAAATTTTTTTTGATAGAATAAAATTAATTAATTAATGTTTACCTTAATATAAAAATTTTGTTTTAGTAATTCTGATACCAAAATCAAATTTGTTTTGTAAAACAACTTCCAAAACTCCCAATAATAGTACTTTTCTTTATAGCCTGCAAAAAAGAAAGAATACTTCATTGTCATAAATATTGACTATTTTTTTTATTTAGTGCTGTATATTTTATAAAATAAATACACAGGAATTAAAATTCCCCATATTATTATAACAGGTATACTATAAAAAAAGATATAAGGCTTGTGATAACTTGCATCAAAGCATTCGATACTCAAATCTAAATCTAAATATTTTTTATCTCCTATAGTAATGCAATTAATTGATCGACTTGCAAGATTAATTACCATTGGAAAGAAATAAAAGTAAATAAACAAAGCAGCTGTTCTAAAATATTTGATGAATATATTTACTTTAAAAAAATTGCAAATGATTCCTATCAGTAAATACATACATGATATTCCTAAAGGTAAACAAAAAGTCCAAAGAGATTAAAATAACCAGAGTGGCTGTAAATTTGGATAGTTTGAAAACACACAGTCAATAGATTTGCTAGTCATAGTAAAGGTGTTTCCTGACAGTTAAATAGGAAGAGTAAAAGAAATTGGCATGTTTACTGTAAAAGTACAAACAAAAGACAATATTTGTAAATGGTCAGTTAGAATCTTAGATATGATTTATGACCTATCAGATTAGTTTACTTTTAAAAAATAGATTAAATATTTTTATTTGAATATTAATAAAATAAATAGTATTTACGTGTTGATCCTAAATAAATCATATCTAATTTATTTAAATAATACCCAATAATTTTAAATTCCTGTTGCATTATAATTCTTTTTAAAATAAACAGCACATAGGAAGAAATTAAGATGAAAATTAATAAATTAAATGCTATTATTTTGATTTTATTTTATGAGCATTAGTAGCAATAGCTAGGATTAAACATTTAAGCATAACTTTCTCCCCAAATTTTCCCGTAAGTATCACAGCACTAGCACATAGGTCCTTTATACCCTTCATCGCAGTTAAACTTAACATAATTAAAAAAAAGAATCATTAATAATGTAAAAAAAAAAGTTTAAAACTATTTGTATTCTTTAAAAACATAATTACTAAAAAGAATTAATAAATTAAAATAATTTAAATAAATTCTAAATATCCATATTTATTTTACTTTGGATGTAGGAAGTTGTGGTTAGCATGGTAAAGGATTTAAACTACAGTATAGAATATTGTCTGTATTTTCATTTACTCTCCAATAACCGCTTTTTAACTAAATGATAGAACCTTTACAGCTAGTTGCTGAATCAGGACATTCTTTACATTCTTTATCATTTAAACTCAAAGAGTACTTACCTTCAGGGCATTATTAACAAGCTATAGAATTCCCATATTAGACAAATATTTCTCCAATTGAGCATTAATCTAACTCTATTTTAACATTTAACTCTATTTATCCAGAGTTGACTACAATATTTCCTTATGAATCCTTTATTTATGGAAAAATATTACTCACTATTTTAAGTATTATATTAGCTATTGGCTTATAAAATACTTGAACATCTAAGCTATAACCTCCATTTTAGTATTATTTTGTTTGAAGCTATCCAATACATTATATTTGTTCATTTTCTTAATCCCAAGCTATAGAAATACTTATTTATTACAGTAATGACTAGACATCAGAACTAAGTAAATTAAAATTTGTTAAATTAATATTATCAAACTTTATATGATTATCCTCTTCATCAAGCAATTAAATTTTTTTGAAATTTATTTAATCTCCACTTTTAAATTTATGAATTTAAATATCTCCATTTTATTAAGATTTTTAGCTTCCACTAGGCAATTCTATATTTTCTAAATCAATATAGACCTTTCTTAAAGTAGAACCAAAATTTTATCCATAAATATACCCAACATTATCAATAAAAGTATTATTATTTGAATTTCCATGCTTTAAATCAATAAGAAAATCAGGGAGAATTTATGTATAATATATTCCACCACCAATTTAAGCTATATTAGAAGATATTTCTGTATTTTATATTATTATATTATTATTTTATTGGTAGATTGCACCTCCAGAAGAAAGAAGTGCTTTGTTTTCTATAAATTAACTTGAATTTATATGTAAAATTCCCATTAAAATTTTATTTTATATGTAAATAGCTCCTCCATTTTATTATTTGCATGTATTAAGCTAAAATCTTGAATTTTATATTATGATTACCTTATTTTCAATAGCATAAATAACTCCACCAGGACCATTAATATTTGTATTATTTACAAATTAGCTATCAATTATATTAACAGTATCACAATTCTACATGCTAAATATAGACATGTATTTATTAAGCGAGTTTACTACATTTTTAATTTAAACATTTTGTATCTTAACAAATTATAAATCGTTAAGTGATATCAGAGGATTAGCACCAAAGATTTAAAAATCCAAAAATATTATTTCAGAAACAAGAGCTTTTCCTTTATCACGTTACTAATTAATAGAAAGTATTGATATTTAACTATCATTTGAATTTATTCTAGTTATATAAGCATCACTAAAGCTTTTAATATTAATAAAATTTATTTACTCTCCTTAAACATGTGAATAAATATTTTTAATATTTATATCAGTTATATTAATTTAAATAGCCTAAATATCAATAACTGTAAGTGAAGTTTCAAGATTTTTGATATTTAAATTTTACACAACTATACTATTAGCTTAAAAATAGAAACTAGCATTTACACAGTCTAAAATTTCTACATTATTTAAAAATAAAGTATCACATAGATACTAAACTGTATTCGTATCTTACTCTTATATCTATAAGATAGTATTATTATTTGATTATTAAGCTTTAATTTTTTAAATAAATGATAAAATCGAGCTTTGTAAGATATAAATTTTAGAATTCTAACTTAGATTTATGAAAGTATCAATAATATTTAGATTATTTACTTGTTGTAAATAAATAAAATTATTTAAATAAGAGCAATTATTAATATTGATATTTGTAATATTCACCATATTACTTTGAGTAATTGAAAAAATATTACTTGAAGTTGAGTTAAAGAGATAAACTCCATTAATTATTACATTAGTATTATTAATAAGAGTAAATATAAACTATTAATTCATGTTTATATTATTTAAGAATAATTAATCAATTATGACTGATTAACAATTAGAAATTATAATTTAGCTATTATCTTCAATCTATAATACTAATTAACTCATGAATACCCTATTAAAATTTTACAATCTAAACTAACCATTTAAATTTAAAGAAATGTTAAACATTGAGTAGTATTTCATAGTATTATTTAGATTTAATTCAATCTATGTATTGACTTAAAGAGACATTTCTCTAAAAAATAAACTAATAACTTGATAGGAAAAAAATATTTGATTTATCCATGAAATCTTATTTTAATATTTAGATGATAATCTCAAGTTGATTGGGTATTTTGAATCAATGTTTTAATCTTAAATTACAAAATCCATCTATTCTATAGATTACCCATCGAGATATTCTATTTCTACTAAGGAAAGTATTTATTCTGTTGTCTACAAAGATTTATTTATTTAGTCTAAAGTATTTTTAGTGTAAATATTTTCTGATGTTCTATTTTATTATTCTATTCTTACATAGCATAAATTATTTTATGTAAGAGGTAACTAGATTTTAGAAATATTTTTAAAATTTGAAATTATAAGCGATGCATACATTTGATTGTTAGAGTCAGCACTCAGCTAAAAACTGTTAATGAATACATTTTATTAATAGTATTCATAGATTATTGAATATGTTTCATTATATTTTAATTAAAATATGGATAATTTATTTTTTTAAATAACGATCACATAGTTATTATAGTTCATATTTATTAAATTACTCGCTTCAGAGATACCGTGATTTATTGTAGGAAATTATTACTCAAAGCTAATTCCATTATACACTATAATATCATTAGGACAGATTGAATACACAAAATTTACATCATAAGATATAAATGCTTGCTTTAAACAAGGATTTTTTATTGAAGTAATATATTCTAAAGTATAAGTTAATATGTCTGTAACCCCTTCATTGTTAACTACGTAAATTAATTATTTAAAAGGATTATTTATAGTGTTCATTACTTTATACTTATTTATTTTATATCTCTATATTATTTCTAGGCTTGACAAATCGACAATTGATAACATATTTCCAACATCTTATTTTTAAACTATTAATATATTTTTTGTATATTTTGTTTATGTGATCCAGTCATTAGAATTATATCTTTTAAAGTCTTCAAATGGGATTTACCACCAAGCATCTTATTAACTATCAAACTATTTAATAAGCAATTTAAAAGCGAGTTAAATTTAACCTAAATTAGGTAATATAATTTTATTTATTGAGTTAGATACAATATCGTATACTTAAATATAGTTATCAGAAGGAATAACTATATAGTAACTACAGATGAAAGCATTTTAAATATCACCATCTTCAAAATTAATAAGAAATACCTCGTTAAAGTCCTGTTTTTAAAGTTTGATTACATTCAATTAAAGGATTTATTCATAGAGCAGAATTATTTAGTTTTGATTTTAATCATAAAAGAAATTATCAGGAGTATTTATTAAAGATATTTTAAATAATTGAACTAAAGAATTAGTTGCTATATCTATTTAAATTATGTTTAACAAATTAAATGTGATGTAAATGAATTAATTTTCAGATATTAAAATAGGTTCTGTGAAATAAGGATAATTATTATAATATGATGGTTCATAAAGCAAAGAATCTACAAGATAAGCATTTTTAAATAAATTTAAAGAGAGATTAGATAGACTGTAAAAAACTTAATATTCGTCATTTAATTACACGTTTTAGATATTTTAATACTATAATAGGTTAGTTTCACTTGCATAAAGGACTTCTGTTAAATCAAAAGCAATAAAAGTAGTACTTGTTTAGACTATCATTACAGAGAGTATTTAATTTACATATAAACTAAGAATATTTGTTTGGTTATACTATTGTAATGAAAAAGTTTCAATATGCTACATTCCAGGATAGCTTAGAGCATAAATAAATTAGAATGAAAATATAAAAATAACATTTTTATTTTGGTCCATCTGGATACCTTATGCATCTTTGATAAATGTGTTAAACGTGCTAATGTTTCTAGATATATAGTTGCATAAATATATTGTGGGTGTAGTATCAACTAAAATTAAACTTGTTTAGCTCTCAAAAAAGTAGCTAGCTCCTTACTAAAATGAATTAAGTGTATTATATGTAAATAATGCTTAATCTCCTGGTATAGTCATAATGTTAATTTATTTTGTAACACCGGTGACTCCTATCAAAGTATTATAATTTATATCATAATAGATGTTTGTATTATTAGATCTGTAATCAAACAACTCAAGAATATTTTTAAAACTGTTTCTATAAAAATAGGTATTTGTGGGGCTAATAAAACATATTAAAAGTTATTCTTTGGAGTTTATTATAGGAATGTTTTGTAAATAATTTTAAAGTGGCAAATTATTAACCTATTATTATATTATTATTAAAAAAGATTAAGCTATAAAATCAAAATTTTTTTTCAATTACCTATTTAAATTATTAGGAGTCTAAACCAGTAAGTAAGTCTTTAATTTTAACAATAGGAGAATATATTATTAGCAAATTTT